CCTGTAAATACAAACAAAACACTAAATTGAGTACAAATCAGGACACACCATGTGTTTTCCTCAAAACAAAAATCAAATCCGTCTTGAAAACATAACGAGCCAGTTTACATTAGCTGTTAACAGACGGTAACAGAGGTGCTATTCACATGCATTACAAGGGGTTTAAGCCATCAACAAAAGGCTGGTTTGCAAGAAAATGAACCAAATAGTCATGATATTGATATAGTTCATAAAATGTCCAACTACTTCTTTTTAACCCCACCTCATGCTCAGAGATTTATATAAAGTGCAGGGTTCTTACACCTTTTCCAAAGTCAAATTCAAGCACTTTTCAAGCATTTTCAAGCTTTTCAAGCATCTTACAGCTGTTGTAAATTACGTATTTATATACACATACTTATACTCAAATGATTATTTCCCTACCTCACATTAAATCAGATGTTCTTTATGCTATAAACAACCAAATGTGTGTTTCATAATAGCATTCTACATGAGGATGAACAATTAAAAATGTTAGAAAAGAAACTAAGTTTAATATTTCAAAACGAGTGACCCATCTGTACGTAGACTGGGCATCCCATATAACCTGGCTGAGCCAATATAAAACAATCAGCCAAATAACTTTTCAATATATTATTGATTACTATTTTTGAGGTACTTTTAGGTTGGCAGTAAACACAAGTCAGAGGTAAATGGTGTACTTTGACTCCACTACATGTATTAATACCTTTAGTTACTTCACAGATGTGGATGAATGATGTGAAATATAATCAAGTGTTAAATCAGACTTTAGTTCCACCTGGAGTAAATCCACAAGCTACTCTGTAGTATACAAAGTCATTCAAACTAGCTGCACCTTTACCAGCTTTGAGAACACTTTCATGATCAATCATTATAAAACATATATACAATTATTAGGGATGCTCCGATCGCCAATTTTGGGGCCGATCGCCGGAATCAGTATCGGCCGATACCGATACCGCTCTCTTTTCCTCTCTCCCCCTCTCTCCCCCTCTCTCTCTCTCCTGACAGCCCGTCAGTATCTCCTGCAGCTCACTGATCCAGTAATGAGTGACCCGACAGTGAAGAATAAATATATTTATAACTAGTTTATCTTGTTCCAGAGGTAGATAAAATAGCTAAGAGTGTTAGGTCTAACTCTTAATGTGTGCTCTGCTCCGCTCACCGGTCCGTCACAGCGGGTGGAGCTGCAGGGTTTCTGCTTCACACACACGTTGCATACCGCTATTTTACTGTCTTTTTCGGACACTTAAAATACTGCCAGACTAGTGAAGCCATTTTGGCGAGCTTGTTTTGCCGCGCACAGAGAAAAGTGTCATGTATTTTACATGCAACGATAGCCTAATCTAAAATGCTCTACTCTGGCGTACCTTTCGTGTGGTGTGGCTCGTCAGCGCAGACTCTTGCATCGTTATTGTTGCACACTTTGCAGGAGGCTACTCTTGGGCTTGACCCTCGTCTTAGCCATGGCTTGTATTTGTCTTCTGCTAGCCAACGCTCGTTGACACGGCAACCTCCTGGCATACTGTCATCTATCACTCTCATCAGAATGCCCAGGTCACACACGTAACAAAAACACTTGCCGGTCACGCGCATTGCGCGGGAAGGCCGGAGCGGAGCTGTTTTATGTAAAAGCGAAGCAATTAAGCGCTCCGACTTCTTTATTTTCTTTTAATCTAAAAAGCGAAGTAAAGCATTTACAATTTCAAGCACTTTATCCCAAATTCAAGCACCATTCCCAAAATTCAAGCACTTTTCAAACCTTGAAAACACCTCGTACAATTTCAAGCATTTTCAAGGATTTCCAGCACCCGTACGCACCCTGAAAGTGGCACATGGGTCCTAGAATAAAAAGAACAGACGATTATTTCAACTTTTATCTTGATAAGTGAGAGCGCAGGCCAGTCTACATGAATGCAGGGCAAGGCACGTTTCTGTCCAAAGGTTCCATGATGGAGTCGATAATGTTTTAAAATATCACTTTGAGTGATGACACTAGTGCTGCATAGTTTACATCTCCATCCCATCTGTGATTCAAAAAATAGAAATGGGTACATTTACCTGATGCTCATTATATTGGTATGCAAACATAACACGTCTTGAATTAACCTCTGAAACAACAACTAGTCTGACACACTCAAGGGCTTACCTAATGTGAGCCTGAAGTCCATAGCAGGAGGCTAAATGTCTTCAAGAGGAGGTGTGACTGTTTTCTGGTGAGGCAAATGAAAGAACAAAATAGTTACATGATGACAATGTAACAATCATTTCAGTAGAATTCATCAAAACATATTTAATTAAATTAATGGAATCAAACATTAAAACACAATTATCATTTAAAACGGTATTGTATTTATATACATTTATAAGGATGGCATTGTTAGATACCAGTACAATTCCATGATTCTCTACACAGCAGATCCTAATAACTTCAATATACACTCCTTTATCTCGTTTGCATACTGTCTAATATCTACTTTATGTTGTAGTAAAACATCTCCTTAATAAAACTGTATTTATTGATATTTCTCGCTAAAGACTGCATTTTACTGGACTACATTGAACACATCTTGCTGACGTTATACATGCCTCCTCGCCCAATACACACTTTTACTGAATTGCGCCTGAATGCACCTTAACTGAAGTCACCTCCGTCTCTTTCTACTGAGAGCTAACGTTAACTCTCCTGCAGATTCCAACATGGATGTGCATCTATAGCGTTGCATAAGCATGAAAAATATAGTTTGCACTTAATTTTGTATAATAACAACTCGATGCTGTAACTGCAGACTATGAGTTTAAATTGGGTACACTAAGATTGTAGAAAGATAATTCATTGCTCACAGTAAAACAAACGGCGAAATACATACAGAGGAATTAATATCAAATCGGCGCATTAGTAACTTACTCTTACATAACCGCTGGGTTATAAAGTAGTAGGGAATAGTTTTAACGGAGGTATTTTACCGCACAGCATGCACGGCAGGAGAGCCTCTGAGCCCCGCGGCCGCATCACGGTGCCCGGGCCAACGCTTAGAGCGGCATAGGGGAACAGTTTGCGGAGTTGATTCTTAATGTGCTCTTAACTTAACCACTTTTAACAGAATTGCGTCGGTAAGCACTTGATGCAAACTTTGCCCAACAACTTTGCGTGAAGAAATAGACTACATGAGCACGACAGGGCTGAGTCTAACTTTAACAGCAGTAATGGCGCTGGCATGCATTCAAATGTCGATGTTTCGTTCAAAACAGTGAATACAAGAAAAGTAAATAACTTGCTAGTTAAAAAGCAGTAATTAATAACTCAGGTGGCATGCTTACTTGTTTTATGATGGTTTGAGGAGGATCCAACGTAAACACGTGTCCAACTGCTGAAGAACCGCTGCAAAGAGGAACAGGAAGTCTCACACCGCGGTATTCTCGTTTGAGGGCGTGGCATGACCGTGGCGTTGACAAAAGCATTTTTATTACGTTTTCCAAAACGTCTTTTTAAAGAAAGTTCAGAAAATGTGATATTAATTTACAAATTAATGAGTTCTTAAAACATGTTCTCATTGTTGCTTACGTGTTACTTATTTAAACGCACATTGAAAAAAAACTAATTTAGGGCAAGTAAATTACATAAAAAAATTGAGTTTTGTTGACTTCACCATCGGAACTGTTTTTACAGTGTGTTCTCCTTTGACCTTTGACCCCTAACCCATCACAGTCCTACTGCTATTTATTCAACTTTTACTTTATTATTTGCCCCTCTTGTTTGTTTGTTCGTGTTTTTGAGTTTAAACGGGAAACAAAGGAAACAATATTCAGAGATAGAGTGGCAGCATAAAGACATTTAGAGAAACAAAGTCTAATTAAATGTTAGTTTTAGTTTCAGTGTGTTCAATTGTGTAGAAATCCTGCATTGTGTGGCTGTGGGGGTCCGGCATGGGGTCAGGCATGGGGTCAGGCATGGGGTCAGGCATGGGGTCAGGGCGGGTCAGGCATGGGGTCAGGGCGGGTCAGGGCGGGTCAGGCATGGGGTCAGGGCGGGTCAGGCATGGGGTCAGGGCGGGTCAGGCATGGGGTCAGGGCGGGTCAGGCATGGGGTCAGGGCGGGTCAGGCATGGGGTCAGGGCGGGACACCTCTTCTGGGAATGCATGTTCATCATGTATGGTTCCTCTTTTTGAACCCGAGATGTACTGGTGGTGTATGTGAGGAGTGGGAGTGTCGCTGCAGAGAGAGGAACACAGTGAGGTCTCACTCTGACTCAGATCAAGTTTGAAAACGAAACGAAATGTTGAAAAGCAACAATGCAACTGTATTTTTAGGAAGTTAAATTGCTGTACATGTGTCTGCACCCCGCACTCCAAAGGTTTTATAAAAACAAAAAATCTATCGAATCACATAAAAAAACAAAAAAAGATAATAATGTAATAAAATATGATTAATTATAATAAAGATATGAAACCTCTTGTGGGACCAATCCTTCATAAAGACTCACTTATTCACTCAGCTGTCAAACCCCCCACCCCACTATTTTACTAACTACTGTTTGTGTTTTTATGTTTTCTTTGTAATGTTTCTGTTCTGATTTTATGTAAAGCGTCTTTTATATTAGATTTGTTGTTTTATATGGAGAGTTTTGGTTTTATATTTCAAGTCAAATTCCTCGTATGTGTGAACCTACCGGGCAATAAACCCGTTTCTGATTCTGATTTGGAGGATTAGGAAAAACGCTATCAAAATCGCATGTATTATTATTATTTTTTTTTTCTCAGTAGTATTTATTTATTTGTTTCTTTGTTTCTTGGGTTTTTCCAACAGCATCCAGTTATTCGATCAGAGCATGTATCAAACGCAAGTAAACAAATCTTCACTTTATAGAAAAATAAGTATTTCTGAAGAGTCGTCCTGGTCAAAGCTACAGCGCATGCGCAGAGTTACCGCCTCGCACTCCTCGGAGGAGTGACCCTCCTCGCGCTCTCTCTCTCCGAGTCTCTCGTGCGCACAGTGTTCAACTTCAGTGTGCAGAAGAAGGGAGGGGTGTTAACACACACATTCTTCTGGATTCTCCGCGACAGACCTCTCCATAAACACTCCTCAGGTACATTTACACTCTTTTACACAGCCTCCCTTCTTCTTCTGTGTTTCTGTTTCATGTTTTTAAAACGTTTCCTGTGATGTGTGTCGGCTTTGTGCTTCGCGCGGCGTGGGAGATGTTCGGAGCCTGAATGCACCACTGTGTGATGTTCGTGTACACACTAACAATGTGTACTAATACTGTGTACTTGTGCATAAGTAAAGGGTGTGTACACTGTACAGTAGCTTTGTATGAGTAGTTTGAGCAGTGTGTTTCCACCCACATGAGAACACTGATGAGAGCATCGCTAGACTTCCTTAATGCAACACATTCAAACAAGTGTTGTCTGTATTTATACACAAAGCTAATGCTAAACACAGCCAAGCTTAATGATGTCATAGCATATGAGCTAATTGTGTATTTACAGAAGTGGCGTTAAGTAACTCAAGTACTGTAAATATGACGTACTTGAGTATCTCTACTACTTTATACTTCTACTCCACCACATGTAAAAGTAGAAGTACTCAAATCTGGTACTTGAGTAAAAGTAGAAGTACTCAAATCTTGTACTTGAGTAAAAGCAGAAGTACTCAGGTATTGTAGTAAAAGTAGAAGTACTCGGGTCTGGTACTTGAGTAAAAGTAGAAGTACTCAAATCTTGTACTTGAGTAAAAGCAGAAGTACTCAGGTATTGTAGTAAAAGTAGAAGTACTCGGGTCTTGTAGTAAAAGTAGAAGTACTCGGGTCTTGTAGTAAAAGCAGAAGTACTCGGATCTTGTAGTAAAAGTAGAAGTACTCAGATCTTGTACTTGAGTAAAAGTAGAAGTACTCGGGTCTTGTAGTAAAAGTAGAAGTACTCAGATCTTGTACTTAAGTAAAAGTAGAAGTACTCAGGTCTTGTACTTGAGTAAAAGTAAAAGAACTCAGATCTTGTACTTGAGAGTAAAAGTAGAAGTACTCAGATCTTGTACTTGAGTAAAAGTAGAAGTACTCAGGTCTTGTACTTGAGTAAAAGTGAAAGTACTCAGATCTTGTACTTGAGTAAAAGTAGAAGTACTCAGATCTTGTACTTGAGTAAAAGTAGAAGTACTCAGATCTTGTACTTAAGTAAAAGTGAAAGTACTCAGGTCTTGTACTTGAGTAAAAGTGAAAGTACTCCGATCTTGTACTTGAGTAAAAGTACTCAGATCTTGTACTTGAGTAAAAGTAGAAGTACTCAGATCTTGTACTTTAGTAAAAGTAGAAGTACTCAGGTCTTGTAGTAAAAGTAGAAGTACTCAGCTCTTGATTATATTTTAAGTAGTAGGTTGTTTATTTATATTGTGTATTCTATAGATATACAGTGAATGTGTGAATATTTATTATATTTTAAACTCGTGCAATGCCTTTTTTGCAAGCTGCTGTAATTAACCAATTTGTGAAGTACAATCTAAAATCAAGCCATTTATTATATACCACGCCTAGCTGTAGCTACTGTGTGTTTACTGTGATTAATAGATTAGATTAAATGTGCTTTATTGATCCCTATTTGTTTTGTTGACAAGTCATCGCACAAGTTTAAAAATGCAATAACAATAAACATATACATTAAATATTTGCATATCTACAATACATAGAAACTACAGAGTAAGTTAAGATACACTTAGGGCTGCTCGATTATGGCAACAATCATAATCTCGATTATTTGGGTCAATAATTGATATCACGATTATTAAAAACGATTATCCATTTACTTTGAAAACATCCATTTATTGAACAGTATGTTTTGAACAGTTGATTACCCTGAACTTTAAGTAGAATTCAACTGAAAAACCAATAAAATAAATCGTTTTATTTCGATTATGTTGTTTTCATATTCGTTGCAAGCCAAAATCGTAATTGCGATTTAAAATACGATTAATTGAGCAGCGCTAAGATACACAACATCTAATCTACTACTAAATGTAATATATATATATACACCCGTTTATAGGGTTTTTCCCCGCGTGTCTAATTCAATATAGACTGTGTTGTATAGACTTCCTGCCTCACCTGTCCTTCAGGTAAATCCAGTTTATCACCATGTGGCTTTGAGTTGAAACTTCACTGCAGGGGTGTCAAACTGAATTTCATGGCGGGCCACATTAACATTATGGTTGCACTCAAAGGGCCGGTTGTAACTTTAAGACTATATAAAAATACATATATAAATATTTAAAGGGGACCTATCATGCAAAATGCACTTGTGTACGTCTGTTATACATGAATATGTGTCCCCGGTGTTCCAGGGAACTCACCAAGTGTCAGAAAACACAACCCTCTCTATTTTCCTCCATACCCAAATCTCTAAAAAAGGGGCTGCAACGGATCTGATAAAAACTGATCCAGATTTGAACACTGTCCTGACGTCAGGACGGTGGCGCTACGGCTATTGGGCCAACTCCACCAATCAGGAGGAGACAGCCACGGCCATTGCCGTTCTAAAGCGCTGGAGACGCTGTAGTACATATGCCAGGCCTGTAGGTGGTGCTGTTCTCACAGAATCTGCCCTTGCAAAAACAGAGCAAAAAAATGTCAAATTGAGCAAAATGAGGCATGGCTAAAATGCATGATCTGTTTGGTATTTTGAAGAAAAAAAGAAGTATAAATATGCCTTATATAGGTATGGTCCTACACTATATTATTCAATATAGCATGATAGGTCCACTTTAATATATATAAAATAACGTATTATATTACATGATTGCCTCTGAATTGGATTATTATCGGATAGGGTAATAACTTCATAATTAACTACGTCTGAAAGCAGAAGTCTAGGGCAAGTCTTTTCAGTGAGAATGTCACAAAATGATTTAAAAAGAAAAGCCAAATTCTGGAGAGAAAAAAAAGAAGTGACATTTTGAAAAAAAAGTCAAATTCTGAGAAAAAGGCAACATTTGAGATGCATTGTGGGACATGTAGTTTATGGGCAACGTGCTTCTGTAAATCGGCATGTAACCGTATAATAAACATATTATATTCTTTGCAAGCTCTTGTGGGGCCACATGAAGTGAAGTCATGGGCCGGATTTGGCCCCCGGGCCTTGAGTTTGACACCCCTGCTTTACTGCATTCCTCTTCAAACTTAACTAACCTCAAAGAGTCATGGTTTTTAGCTACGGAAACACATCTGGTTAAAATATTGATGTTGTTTGAGGCATGGTTGGTGAATTTAAAGGTGGCAGTTTGAGCTATTAAAGGTTCAGCTCTATTGCTTCTGCTACAACTTAAAGGTAGGGTAGGTAAGTTTGAGAAACCGGCTCGAGATCGCTAGAATTTGAAAATACACAACCGGAGAAAATCTGCCACTTCCTTACCGAGCCCCTCCTCCAACACACACGAACGCGCACATGACCAATGAGGGCACGAGATAAGTTTGTGCACAGATGGAAGGCTGACAGGCAGGTAGGCCATCCAGTTATTTTAGCCGGGCCGGCTCAGATGATTGGTCGTGCTTTTTACAGTACTACAGCTTCCACAGATGATATTTATTTATGGATTTGTTGTCAAAGCACTTCAGATATTCATTGCTATCGGGATGTTAAGAGCATTCCATGGAATATAACAACAAGTGTATCTCGAGCCGGTTTCTCAAACTTACCTACCCCACCTTTAACTCAGGGTTTAGTCTGATTCAAGATTCAATTCTTCATCATCATGTGCTCAGCAGCTACAGTGAAGATATTAGGGCTGTACCTAAATATTCGTTAGTTGGAGTACTATTCGGGTTTCAATTTCGTTATTCGGATATTCGTTTTTTTTTATTTTTTTATTAATAAGAGCTTGTGCCTCTTCGGGGGGTGCTAACACTTAACCATAAACGTCATCGTTTACTTTCTCCGTCTTTATAATGTAGATATGACTTTTTCTCCATTAATCTCCGTCACGTTGTTTCCATAGCAACAACAACTTCCTGTCAATAGCGCTAACTCGTTGGGCTATAAAGGAACTACAGCACGGTCACATGACTTCACGTCACCACCGCTAAGCTAAAGGAGGCTAATGTTGGGCTATAAAGGAACTACAGCACGGTCACATGACTTCACGTCACCACCGCTAAGCTAAAGGAGGCTAATGTTGGGCTATAAAGGAACTACAGCACGGTCACATGACTTCACGTCACCACCGCTAAGCTAAAGGTGGCTAATGTTGGGCTATAAAGGAACTACAGCACGGTCACATGACTTCACGTCACCACCGCTAAGCTAAAGGTGGCTAATGTTGGGCTATAAAGGAACTACAGCACGGTCACATGACTTCACGTCACCACCGCTAAGCTAAAGGTGGCTAATGTTGGGCTATAAAGGAACTACAGCACGGTCACATGACTTCACGTCACCACCGCTAAGCTAAAGGAGGCTAATGTTGGGCGTGCTAACGCTTAGTCGTCTCAATTAGACACTTGATAGCAACCTCAGTTTTAAAATGGGGTATTTTCTGTCTCTCTTCAGCTTGTGTTAACCACAGACCTGATTTCAAAGTGAACTCTGACCTCACAAAACAGGTTTTTGGCTATAAATCAGGAACTCCTAGGGTATGTTAATGACGACAATTCCACACAAAAGGGGTGACGTTTGGGACGAACATAATAATTAACTGTAACTCTAATTGGGTGGTGGAGGCAGTAATTAGAGAGTAGTTTATTTTCTGTATGTCTCGTTGTGTTTGAAGCTGGTTTTTCTGCACAGTTTCAGATAAAGACTTTAAGACATAATAGCTCTCATAATAGCTAGTTTAGAATAAGCTGTTTGTTGACGTGTCCTTAACCAACCTATAGGATTATGGCTGAGATGAAAACACATCTTTACATCACACTGGTGTGTTAGTTACCTGATGTGAGCCTGTGGTGTTTCTCCAGAGGCCTGTACTACGAAGCAGGATGTTCTCTTATGGCGCATTTCCATTGCAGCGCGTAGCTCGCTTTAAGCGTGCCGTGTCGTGCCGTCCCCTTTTTTGGTTGTGCTTCCACTAGGCCTCGTTCCGGCGCGGCACGGCGCGGGGCCACTT